TGGAACGATTGCAACTGAATTCGATTATTACGGAAGTGGCATTCAATTTTATTGCACCATCCTCTCTAAATGTGAATCATTTAACAACCTTATCCCCATGCCAACACTTTCTCGAGGCTCCATGCGGGTCCTCACGATCCGTCTGCACCCGCGGACCCATCAAAGTGATAATTGAGCAGTCAAACCGAAATGAACCCATGCCAAAAAGACCACAGAAAAAGAAGACTCTCCTCCAACTCCGAAATGCTTTTGTCCGAACTGCAGCCCGCAACAATGGCAACTCATTTCACTCAGGTTACGGCTGTGATGAATGATCTCATCAGCGAGGTGTCGACCAGAGATTGGCCCCAGCTTTTACGGCGGAACAGCTCCCAGAATAGCCCCCGATGAAAGGAACATCGTTTGTGGCCAAGTGTAAAATTTAAAATTTAATAATTAACAATTGTTTTTTAATTTCCCAGCGGCAAATCAGCGGCACTGCGATCTAAGCTGGCAGTCCAAATTACTTTCCCCCTTTCTGGGCTGTCAATCGGGCTGCCCGAGATCTCTTTGTTAGGGCCATGATTAATGATGCAAAATTATGAACTCGCTTGTTCTGAGCCACGGACTGGATGGCCGGCCGGCCGGTTGTAAGTAGTTTTGTAAATCGGTTAAAGAAAAATGACTTCATTAAATTCATTAGCGCCCATGTGTGAAATTCGTTCAATTGGTTTCCGATGGCTGGGTTTCTTTGTGGCGGCTAGTGGAGCGGAGTCCTAAACGGAGGGCACTTCTCCTATAATAACTCCATTTAAGGAGGGCGAATCGAACCCGCCTAATGACACCTTACAGATATCTCTTACCCGCTGATTTTTGCCTGGCCGCAAACCAAATCGGCGGACTTTTCCTCGATGCCCGTGGCTATTTGTTCGGCCTGGGAAAATCAATAGCCAAACGAGACCAGCAATTGCTTGGCGGGGCGAGGGAGTCGGGAAAGTCGAGATAATCAAGCCGAGCTGCAGTCAAATGTGCCACATAGATGGATGGATTTGCCAGGTCCGCTGGCTCGACTCATGTGAGCCTCGGTCTGCGACTCCGGCCATAAGTCATCGGCATTGATAGCCATCAATCGCGGACCGCTTTCCACGTTGCCACGACCACAAAGCTCCCCAAAGTGGCGCGAAATCTAAGTACAATTAGTCGGGGGCTGGGTCTGGAGCTGACGCTGAAGCTGAATCTAAGGCTGAAGACTTGCCTCCGGGACTGGGCTATGGAAATCCATCTGCAGTTCGGTTCGTTACCGACTATTACTCCAACGCATTTTCCAAGCCTGGCCATTTTTCTTGGCGGCGGCTGCCCCGGCAACCGCAGTCCCAGTTCCCCAATCTGGCTTGTGGTCAGTCACTTTGTCAGTTGAAAGAGCCAAAAGTCTTGGGCCCGCTCGCCCATTCGTCCATTCGCTCGTCGGCCGATGGCTCGTTGAACCTTTTTAACCGTTGCTTGGTCAAGAGTTGTTAACCATATTAAAGTGTTCAATGATTAATTACACGCGTCCAAGATTAATTGAAATCAATCAAAGCTGAAGTTAACTAATGGCAACACGTTTGTAATCCCCCAGCGCAAGTCCATTCTCATCTGCGGCTCTGTCTGTTTCTGTTTCTGGTATCTGGAATGTCTGCACCCTGGACTCGAACTCCTACTCCTTCTCCTATTTCCACTACCATTCTCGTAGGTCCATCTCCACCAGCCGAGCTCCACGGCTGAAACTCTAGACCCATAGTAATTTTATTGGCCACATTATTCGGTTATTCGGTTTCAGTTTCCCAAATTCTACTGTTGCGCATCTTTTGTTTATTCCCATGCTTAATTACAATTAGGGAATTTGTGGGCCAAACGCATTAGTTGATGGATGTGTAGTTTGAGAAAAGCAAGAGTCTTGGTTTGGATAAAGAGATGATAGTGTTTGACTTTTGCCCACGAGCTTAATAGCAGAGTACCCTCTGAACAAAGATCGATAAAACATACAGCCTCGATATATTTAGTGAATCTTTATTGGTAGCAAAAGCTTAGTCAGAGTTTCAGAACCTGAAGAAGCCGTAGTAAGGACGCCCACGGTCTCCGAAGTAGGGATTTCCATAGTAATATGAATTGGGCCAATAATATCCACCGTAAGGCCGAACGAAAGGTCCACCGAAAGGACCACCGTAACCAAGACCACGTTTGACTCGCACTTCAGGCTTCACAGTTGTACCAACATGTTTCCTTATTGATGGTAAGTTTTTTCCGGAATTCTCATGGGCGAATACCAGGCTAAGTCCCAGGAAGGATAATAGACCAAATAATATTACGAAACGCATTTTAACTTCGGATGCTGGAACTTCCAATAGATAGGAACTTTCGTTGTGACTGCTATACAGCGAGTTCTTGAAAGAGCTTTTATACTCGGTATGTGAAATAATGAGTTTCACGTGTAATATAGGTATAGCTAATTGGGTAACCTGTTATAAAAGGATGACCCTATAAAAACAACAGCAAATATTTTTTGTTTTGGGCAAAACCGCAATAATGCAAGTTCGAATTTGTTTAAATTATCTGTTGACCCCTTGATAATTGTAACCTGTTATAAGTCCATTTGACTAATCTATTAATATTACAATTCATTTTTACTTAAGGGGTTATCCGGGTCTTGGAGCACGAAAAAAAGCCTATTTTCGTAAATTTTTTTTAAAGATCTTATGACAATTTCACAAATTTTATTTATTGTACATTAATGTTTATGGTTTGAACAACATTGTGTAAAAATTTGAACCAAATATTTTTAAAATTGAGCCGTTGAGGCAGGCTTGAACTTGACCTTATAAAAAATTGTGTCCTTGCGGTAGGCAAAATATCTCCGCCAATTTTTGTCTGAAATCAAAAAACCAAAATTATTGTGATAGTTTATGTGTCTCGCTTGTCCTCTACGAGCCATTTTTTTTAAAAATTAAAAATTGAATTTTTTGTAGCGCTTTTCATAAAAAGTGTCATATTTTACGTAAATTTTGGCCATATTTTGGCTTATAAAATGAGTTGTAATTAAAAATTAAAAAAATCCCTCCGTTAAGGACAAGAGAATTATGTCTAAAAAAAGTGTGCAAAAGCAGAAGTTGATCGGTGCAATAGTTTTTGAGAAATCGTGACTACCGACTTAAAAAAAGTGGTTTTGAGAAAAACGCGTTTAAAGTGCCGCATCTGTCCGACGCCAGAGCCCGAATGGCCCGTTGTGACGTTCGACGCGCTGGGCTTTAAATTTCTCCCATTCCTACAGTTTTGCTTCGATCGACTTGAAATTTTCAGACAACATTCCTGAAACTTTGTACTATTATATAAAAAAGTTTGAAAAAAAATGAATTTTTTGAAGTGTCAAGACCCGGATAATCCCTTAAATACATAAAAGACAAGTAAATTAAATACATTTAAAAAGCATAACCAAACCCTACTAATTTTATTTGCAATCCCAGTTTTATTCCTTTGATACCTAAACCCAGAAGGTGGGCAGTTCTAATTAAAATGAAAATATTCCGTTTTTAATTACGAGGTGACTCGGCTTGGAAGTTGTATCAATTGCCTGACAGTCGGCTAAGTTATGGATTATGCCCCTGGGGCAGAGGTAGGGGGTTTCCCTCAGATCGCTTACAGAGTTACACACGTGACACTAACGGGAGGAAGTAACTTTAACCGCCTCGCCTTTTGTCAAAAAGCGGAAGCAGTCAAAGGACATGCTAAACCGCTTCCCCCGACATACACACACACACACATGTGGTTAATTATAATTACGCAATTTTAATATCAAAACAAGCCAGCCAAAGAGGAGAGTGGGAAGCATGTCCAAGTCCTGCTCGGTTCCGTGGAGGGTTGGTCGCTATGAAAAGGCGAAAAGTGATGAATGAAATGCGATGATTTCCAGCCAGCGAGCAACCCCCAACAGACAGGTTGAGGTTGCCCTCCCCACACCTCCCACCGCCCGGTCCAAACCTCCACCCCCGTCCCCACACTTTGAGCTTTGATTGAGCATATCCGGTGGGATTAGAGCGAGGGGTTGGCCCAGGTTTGTTGTCAGTTGCGGCTCGTCCAGCCAACCGAGAGTTATTAGCTTTTATGATATTGATAGAAGCCGATGTCTATTGACAATTAAACAATGACAGCACCACCCAGTCCCATTCCACTGCTAAATCCTCAATCGAGGGCGTTCTATGTTTTGGGGTAAGTCACCGAGATGGGCGTTTTGTTTGCGCGAACCCCTCGAACCCTCGATAAGAATCTATTGGTGGTTTTGGCCGCAAATTAATATGCATCGGCGGAGTGAGGATAATTTCCGTGGCTTTCATGTTGATTAGAAGGGGATTAGTACATCATTGCGGTGAGCCAATAAAACTCCATGGGATATTTAACGCATATGCTGCAAATTTGATTAGCTGACTGCTAAATGTCTAATTGTTAACTTGATTAATGGTTGAAGACTAGCAGAAAAGTAAGTACCGAAAGAACGTCTGACATCCCTCAAATATTTACTTTTTTACTTTCCTTGAAGCAACTCACAGATGCTTCTGCAGAGCAAAGACATACAGACAGAGATTGGCCCGCAGGTCCAGCTAATAAAATCCAAATGATAATTATGACAATCGTACGTGATAATTGCTGCAAGCCCCGACAAACTCCCACACATGCCGCGTAATCTGGAGGAGGAGCTGCAAAGTGCCCGAAAAGAAAGCAAACAGATCGTGACAGCTCGTGGAACATAAACAAACACACCCTCCTGGACTTATAATTAGCATGGCTCAGGAGCAAGACCTACAAACGAGCGAACTAATAAATAAATGGAGATTTTCTGTTATTTATTTTTAAAATATTCCCCATCCCCCAGGTTCTCGGTCTCGATCACGTCTTCGCTTTGGGTCACACACATTCATTTGTATGAGGTCAAGTTGCGAGATAATTTGGGACTCTGTAGATCCCCTGCATAAGGAAAAACACACACTATGTAAGTCTTCAGTCTTCGTTTATTGGTGCACAATATTTAGTCGTAGATTTATCCGATGAAAGGACCTCCAAAGCCTCCAAATCCTCCGAAGGGGCCACCAAAGCCTCTGTGGTGTCCGAAGTGACGACCATAGCCTCCGTAGCCTCCATAGCCTCCGTAGCCTCCGAAGGGACTACCGTAGCCTCCGTAGCCTCCATAGAAAGGGCTTCCATAGCCTCCACCGTATCCTCCAAATGGTATGCCAAATCCTAACTGACGCTTAGCTCGCACCTCGGACTCCACAGCTTGGCCAATATCCTTTTCCACAGCCGATAGATCGTTGGACTGACTGTCGGAATCCTCGAGAGCCAAAACCAGGCTAAAAGCCAGGCAGACAATGAGGCCAAACAGAATCACTGAACGCATTTTCACTTTCGATACTACAACTTCCAATAGCGATGAAATTTCGGGGTTAACTGATTAAAGCCAACACTTGAGAACAGCTTTTATACTCGACTTGGAACGCAGATTCGAGCATTTATCGTCTCTATATTAATGAGATTCAAGAACAATCTAAACAAAATGCGATGCCCAAATGTGGAACCCGTTCTACCCAGGTGACTAAATACAAACATCAGCTAAGAATCCCCACCGGCTTTTGCGGTTTTCTTTTGTTGATTTTGAAAAAATATTCCCAAATTTGATGACGAAATAAACAAATCTATAAACAGGTTCGAGCAGTGTCGCCAATTAATGCAAATTTCTGTTCGGCAATACTTTCATAAAAAGTTTACATTTTCTAAAAGGGGATTCCTTTCATTTGAAAGAAATAATTATTTATTTATTTATAATAATTTAACTAATAAAGCATGTATCTAGCACAATCTTTAAGCCTAATTTTTACCAGTCATTCAACAAACTAGTTTGCACGCAAAATGCGAGGTGTGAAGCGTTTGTAAACAAATATTGTTTTTCGGGCAAATCCACAGTGATGAGGAAGCCGGGAGGAGTGGAAGCTGCTAGGCTGATAGAATCATCTCGATTCTTAAGTGGGTAAACAACAACAAGTCACTTTTTATAATGACTGGAAATACCCCAGTGTGGTCACACGATCAGTGATCAGTGATCGATGATCAGGGACTAGCACAAGCATATAAAATTTCCAGGGCATAAAGCTCTGCAGACAGTCTGATTTGCTTTGATCAGCTTCTGCTTGGGCTGTCTGATCTGTCTGCCGTTTGCATTGCCATAAATCAGTGGGTCTGCCAAGGGGAAGCGTCGATCGATCGGCTCGGTATCAGTATCATTGTCCGCCTCCCAGTTCCAGTTGCAGACCCACTGATTCCCATCCCAGTTCCCCACATGTGCTGCCCAGACATTGTCATCGCATTTGCTCTTCGATTCTCGATCTGTGCCGATCCGTGTTGTTGTCATGTGATTTAAGGGTTCCGTAAATCACGCTTCTTGTCTAATTTTGTCTCGCTCGAGATTCCCGGCATAGTTGCCAACTCAATGGAATTATTTCTTCGTGTCAAGTGCTCCCAAGAGGCGAAATGGCAGTCCCCCGAAAAAAGGAACACGAAAAGAGGCATTTCGCACATGATCGCGCCACTTCGATCGCTGGCAGCGGCACAATTGCAACTGTATCTGCAACTGCATCTCCATCTCCATCTCCATCGTCATCACCATTCGAATCTGCATCTGTATCTGAATCTGCCATTTCATGTTAACTCACTTGGGGATTGCGGATAGGGGATCCTCGGTCGAGCATAACATTTACAGACCTCATTGAGTTGTCTTCGCCACTTACGGAAAAGGCTCTGCCACATCGTATCTGGAGTTGTCTGGGCAAAGTCGTAGACTTGTCAATTTGCATGCCAAAACTAGTTTGCAGTCTAGGTTGGGCCAAGGTATCTCTTTCGCTTGGTGGGAGGCAAGCCTCTATTAAGCCCAACCCGAACCCGTAATTAATTTACATATAATTGCCACAATCAGATTTCCCCATCAAATGACATAACGCTGTCCCCCGATGACGAGCTGTAAATTTGTGATTATTGCCGCGCAGCGGGGCATGCCACATATATAGAGCGCATATAGTAGTAAGCGCCACCTGACACGCCCTCGTCATGAGGTAGAGGCAGGGGGCAGGGGAAGGGGCAAATAATTGTGTGTTCAGGTTGCTGTCCATTCGGCTGACAGGTGAAATGGTCTCCGAAACAGAAACCATTTGGCGTGTCATCAAAACAATGGCCGTGGCAATCACCACGCAATGAAGTTGCCGCCCCACGACTTTTGTTTGCGGCTCTTTCTAATTTGGGAATGTCACCGAGTTGACTGACGTCCAATATGATTTAACTAACTTTTATGACACCAATTATCGTGTTGGACTATTTTGGCCACTCGATTTGGACAGGTGATGTCAGCGCAAGTTTACTGGATTTTGTTCGAATTTCCGCCTGAGCATCTCCCCTCCATGGTCCAACAAACTTTAATTTACTTTTAGACAAGAGATTTATGAATATTCAAGAAAGAGAAAACGTGGAAAAATTTGCACATTTCGATACGCAAATAAACATTTGAATTTTCCCCTCCTGCTCCGCTTTTCCTTTGTCCGGCCAAGTTTAATTTCGGGTCTTTCCCTGGGATTATGGGGTAGATTTTCGCACTCGCATTTGTTCGCTCCAGTTTGCACAAAAGATCTGTCCCAATCGTGATCGTGACGTGGGTCTCCCAAGCAGCTGGATATTCCCGAGATCGGTGGTTGCATTCTGGATATTTTCTCGGCTTTGTCTTCGGTGCGTTTTTCTGGGTGAAAATTTACCTAAGATTTCCGTTGATTGCATGTGAATATTTGATGATCGGTTTTGCTGTATGCAAAACATGTTTGCAAATTTTTTAAGTGTTATTTTTTCTCTGAGGCCCCGCTGGGGTGGTAAAAAAATTTGCTCTTTTTTTTATTGTTCTTTGTTCGCATAGTCATAATAAGGCGGAACGTGTTGTAAGGCTGTTTACTCGGGAAGAAATTGATGGTCTAGGGAGCTGGGATGAAAGTGACCTTAATTAGGAGATGGTGACCTCATTCTTTGGGAGATTCTTAGGAAAACTTATGAGTTATGCAAATAATCTAGAAAGTTCGTAGCATTGAGTGTTTCTTTGCCTAAAGAGCTATAAGATAAAATTTAAATAAATATTGCATTAACGCGATGAAAACAATAGTTTATTCAACTAAAATAAAGTTAGCACTTATAAATTAATATAATTATAACTTTTATAACTATTATTAACATATAACTTAACTATGAGGTAATAAAATATAATATCTTTATAGGCTCTAGGTTTTACTTTAGCTCCTACTTTAGAATATAATAGAACTCTTCTAGCAATTTATTTAATTTAAAAATTCTCAGCATTTCCTTTGATTATTTTATACCTAATTCTTTCCCGCCAAAAAGAAGTAACTGCATTCTGTCAACCCAAGGTAAGACTCTTATTCAAATCCCGAACTTCACGCCTAATCAGCGAACTGGACAATGGACAAATGCAAATGCTGCATACATTTTTCAAAAACGAAATCAGAGCATTAACACAGGAAAAGTAGAGAAATTCTTTAGAAAAACCTCCCTCCCGTCCCGCTCGCTTCCCCCTTCCCCCATCCAGCGTTGATCTTTTGACCTTTACGCTTGAGTTCCCTAACTCGCCAGACATGCAAAATAATGCATATGAGATTGCATATTCGGTTGGGACTCTTGGGCGACACTTTTAAGGGTGGCAACCGCCTGAAAGGCGCGTCCAGCAGAGAATGAAAAATGGCACTACTACACTATACTGACCTTTGGTTTTCAGTACAGTCCTATTTAAAACTTTAATTTAATCCCAAATGTAATGTTAAAGTTTTTTCAGCTGTTTCGGACATAAATGTCATATTAATTACGATTTTCCATCAAACGATCATAAAACTTGAGATATCAGAATTGGTGATTTGAAAAACCATTCGAAATGAATTGTTTCCATCCAATTTAGGCAATATAGCCAGCTCAGGTGCCACATCCCCACTTGGGCACTATCAAATTTACGAGCCCGAGGCATGAACCCTTTTAGTTTTAGGGCAATTTCACTTGAACAATTCATTCGGGGAGGTGATAGAGCAGAGAACCTCCTTTCGGGATGGGGTGGCATCGGAATTGTCAGCACCAGACTCAAGTGGAGATCGCTTACCAATGCCTATCCGCTGTGTTGACAGAATACTTTCGAAGATGTGGGTGCAGTCGGTCCGCGGAGCACGCGCCAACTTCAAACTGCAGGCCGGGCCATAACTCCTCCGGTTGTCAGGCGTTTAGCTACTTAAACACTTAAGACGGCATGCGGGACGCCCTGCCGACTGGTTCTCTAGATGATTTGGCTGCCTTAATTGCATTTCTTCGATTCCACGCATGCCACTCAGTCAACTACTTGGCGCTCCATTTCATTTTCGGCGACATGGGCATGAGCATGGGCCCTCCTACCCCGCGGCGTGTATTAGTAAATTTATTTGGTTTTTGGCAGAGATTTCGTCTCTGGGAAATTTATTAGCACATTAAGATAAAATGAAGTCGTTTGTGCCTCCACGCTCCACTCGATCCACTCGCGGCTCCCTCGTCTGGCATTAAATTTTATTGCCTTTTTTGCCCATCGCCATCGTATTATCGCGCTGTCCAACTGCTCGCTCCAGCTTGCATCCAACTCCTCCCTCCGCCAGGCATTTCGGGAATTCGGTAGTTTTGGTATTTTGAATAATGTCAAGCATCTTTATGGTAGATTTATTCCGGCTAAGCATCGCTCAGCCATTCTCCGTGCCGCAGAGTGGTGTGGCAGCAGGTGCGGTTTGGTTTTGGGGCATTAAGTATGATTAACAAATGATACAATGATGAGCGTGTACGAAATGGGGATAAAACAGATGGATTACATCCCGATAAATAGGTCTTCGTGTGCCAATAACGAAGTGGGTGTTGGTTGATCCCAATTCATCCGAACTATTGGTTCAATAAATCATTTTTTATTACTTCCAACGCTCGTAAAATCGAAACTCAATGCAGCCACTGTTCTGATCTAAATGGAAAACCTTTTGTTATATTTCCAATTAAATATAAAAAATATGTTTTACAAGAGTTATTTTATTTAACAACTTTCAATTTTCCACTTAATTGTAATAAAATAAGCAATGATACTTAAAATTTCTGTAAGAGTAATGTTTTGTTTTGGATTCGTGAAGTTGGTATAAACTTATTGCTTAACCAGGAATATCAGCAGAATCAAATATCGAAAACTATTTTTTATTGCTCACCCACAGTTCGTTTCTAACTCAATTTAAGATTATCCTTTTATTGATTTAACATGTTTTTGTTAATGGCATTTAAAAGTATCGATTTGTATAAAAGCCAAAAAATCAATGAGGTCGACTGTTTTGAAATTTTAGTAGTTAATGTAAGAAATTCGTGACTGCGAAAAATAAGTCTGTTTTTTTTTCCTTTAAACATTACAAATATTCAAAGATGTAACAGCCTTAAAGATAAACATTCGGTGCCTTTTAAAATTCCTCTCCCTCCTAAAAAAACATAAAATGCATTTATCTCTAAATTTAGTTCCCACTAAACTTTACTCCACTTAAAGTTGTTATCACTGCTGTACCAATCTATTCCCAAACGAAGTATCAATTAAAGGGTTCCAGTCACAGCACGCAACTAACTGCGTCAATTAGGAGCTGCCAGCATAAACCACAAAGAACCAGCCACTGATTACAAACTTAGGTCCTTTGGTCCTGCTGCAGTTGCCACCCCGCGAGTCCTGGCATTCCCATGGAAGGATAGTGCAGCCAGTTCCGCTTAGGAAGTCCGACTTCCTGGGGGGAACGGGAACGGAACTAAAAACTGCACTTCATCGAGGGGGAGGGCATCACAGAAAGTCGCAGGGGGTGAACTGCTCCTGTTGTCCTGGCCACTCCGGAATGTCCTGCCACTGATTGAGTGCATGACTGACCAAGTTGACGGACTCTTGTTGACTGACTGACAATTAAATGACACACCACACAGCGGAAAATGCGCTGCATGCAACTTCAAAGCGGCTGCAGTTGTCAAATCGGAGGCGGTCGGCGTGTGAAACGCTGACTGGGAGATTTCCTTGCCAAACAGGAAGTTGATGTTGCCACAGGAAATGTGATTTGTAGTTTTTCCTCTACTTTGCTCTTTTTTATTTTGATTAAAACTTGTTTGTCCTGCGACAGGTGAGGCGGCAAAGCACTCGAGCATCGCCAGCCGCAGCTGACTTTTCCACATCGATTTCCGAGCAGCTTTTTAAAGTCCTTGCCGGGCCAGACGCCATTTTGGTGGCAGCCAGCCAAGTCAGCGATCCTGCCCCAACTCCCCTGGCTCCTTTTCCGCTGGCTGCCGCCTTTATTTGACAACTCGTTCCAAATAGCACAAAAGCCAAGCTGACATGGATACACATGAAAGTTGCGAGTCGCGAATGGATTTTTATTTCATTTTTCCCTGCTTCTCTCATTTCCTCAGCGGCTTTCATTTCGTTTTTTGTGTTTTTTATTATTTTTGGCGCATGTCCTTTGGCGGCTGCGACTCAAAGGCGGAAGCAGCGGTCTCATGTGTCCCACTGTCCCGTTTTGCTGCTACACTTAAAAAATAATTGTCTGTAAGGACACTGCAAATAAATTAAATGTAAAAAAAAGAATTTAATGAATTCTCTTTTTCTTCAGATAATTTTTTAGACAACTATTTTATAATTAAGCAAAAAGTATTTTTAATTTTATGTGAATGATTAATTGTTGGTTAAGTAAAGTCTCGTAATCTAAATAAAAACAAGAGAGAACGCTATAGTCGGGTGCCCCGATTATCAGATACCCGTTACTCAGGTAAAGGGAGTGCGAGGGAGATGGAGATAGAAACTTTGATCACGCATAACTTTTTAACGAATGGTCCGATTTGAAAAATTTCTTCTACATTTCGATAGGTATTGATAAACACAATAAAACTGCATTTTTACTTTTCCGAAATATTTAAATTTATCGTATATAAGCGATTGTGGGCCTTTTTGAAACAAACTTGCGCTGCGTAGGAACTCCTAGAATCTGCATGCAAAATGCCAATCTTCTAGCTTTTATAGTTTCCGAGATCTCAGCGTTTATACGGACGGACAGACAGACGGACAGACGGACAGACGGACATGGCTAGATCGACTCGGCTAGTGATCCTGAACAAGAATATATATACTTTATAGGGTCGGAAACGCTTCCTTCTAGCTGTTACATACTTTTGCACGAATACAATATACCCTTTTACTCTACGAGTAACGGGTATAAATATTTATACAAAAAGATTAGACAATTATACCGAGAGTATTAACTTTTTTATAAGGAAAGAAATTTCTTTAGGCAAAAAAAATTTAAAGAATAGGATTTGTAGTGTGACAAATTATGTAAATGATTTTTTGGCAGTGTTTTGCTGCTACTGTTACTGTGGTTTTTCTTCGCTTGCTGTAATCAACATTTTTGCAATGCTTCTGTCTGCTGTCTGTTTGTTTATCAAAAGAGTCAACTGTGGCAACCTGGTGGCAGCCTTCCTGCCCGCCCCGCCCCTTTTTTTGTCTCCCCCCACCGCCTACCTTTGCTTGTGTTGAAATTTTCAATTTAATTTTCCCCGCTGCCATTTCACTCTGTTTGCTTTGACTTCGTTCCTTTCTGGCTTTCAACTTCCTTTCATTTCTCCTTTTTTGATGCATGACAAGACGCATTTGACAGACGACGGCTGCACCTACACAAACCAATCCAAAACAGGACAGAACAGATATACCCACACCTCCTGCCAGGATATTCGCATGTAACGCAATGAGGAAACACACGCGCTGCTCATTTGTCTCGTGTTTTGCGAGCAGAAGAAATTGAAGTGTCAAAAATTTTGACACCTCCGATTGTGCCCCATGACGGATCGAGGCTAAGAAGGATGGCATTAGTAGGCATATGGCAGGGATTAGCTCATCCCGACTCACTTGGAGCCCATTAATGGGATACCATCGCAGATCAATTGCTTTGCCACCGTAAGTCAAAAATAAAATAATAATTCTAATTCCATTAAGTAAAATCAATGCAGTTCTCCCGATGATTGCAAAATGATAAATATTTTCCCTTCAAATATCCTGCATTTTGGTTTTAGAATAGTTCAGTTAAACTCTTTTCTTCGATTCGCTGCCATTTAAGGGAAAGTCGAAGCCGAGCGAGGATATCCCTAAACCGGGCAAGGGTTTCCCTCGGGTTGGTGCGAAGAAAAATTATGATTTTATGCAGATTCTGGGTGTGCGAGTGTTATGTTGTGTAAGGGAGCGACAAAGATTCATTCCGTGTCATCAGTCAACTTGATGGTGTAATTATATAGCATTACAAAAACACAATAAGAGGAACAACCCGAGCCACGGCCGAACGAAGTTCAAGTGGCGAGTCCGTGGCCGTGGAAAGTGTTAATAATACTGATGATGATGATGCTGCTGCCGATGTGGAAACTGGATGCTGGAAACAGGATATTTTCGGCCGAATAATTGACTGCAGTTACGCGCCTGTTACGGCCCAAACTCGCTGGCAGTTTATTAATTTAAATGTCACCGTTCCCGCAGACGCTGCTTCGCTGGGAAGTTACATCGAGTACATCCCGCACCGATGTCAAAAGGTGAAATTTCAAACCCAAACTGTTTTCCATTCGCCCAGCCCAGATAGATTGTTCTTGGTTTTGGTTAATAAAAACTAACCGCGATTTATCTTCATTAAATTGGGAATTTTAACGAGCTCGAAATCCTCCGGAAGTGCGTTACCTTTGGATTTAGAGAGTGAACTCTAGTCGGCTTAGTTCAAAGTTTAGCCCTGTCTAGAAAGAAGTGACATCTTCAGATTGGTCTTATGATCTGGATCCGCAACACCAACAAAGCCGAAATTGAGCTGCAGGTGTCAACAAACCAACTAAGGTGGCCTGGTCAAGTGGAGGCCATTAAAAGAGCGTTGGGCCAGCAGTTAAAGAACCATTAAAAGACGGAAAAAATTCACGTGTAAAGGCGATTTTGTCCCAAAGCATAATACCGTTTAAATAAAATCATAAACAATTTTTAATGGTCCACACGAGTCAACGGACAAAGTTCACTCGAAGAGTTTATTTCGTCAGAGAGAAAATACCTCCACACCGGATATCATAATTACTTTTTTGGAACTTTCGACACTTTTTATGAGTTCTTCCTTAGTATTGAAACATTTTTCTGTTCGGATATAAACATACCTTTATGTTTCTGTCAGCTGACTGAATTATTCGGGACAGATAAGTTATTGTTTTTAAAAGCTTACCACAAACTACTCGACAAACTTTTATTGAAAACCGTTTTCCTTCATTTAGATACATTTCATTCGGTTGGTCCTTGCTACAAAATGGCCTCCCATTCCAGGACTCAACACATGCGCCCTGAACATCAACATCAACGGTTGCCCCTTCGAATTGACCCCTTTGTCGAGGCCACCGAACAACGAGTTGGCAGTATTGAAAGCAAAAAAGCGAACAGGGGACATTGGCCATTTTGGATGGGATTCGCACTCAGCTTGACCGATGGGCGACGGGCCAATCCTGCCGTCAGCAGGATATGCGTCCTGCTATTTACTGGACACTCCCTTGGGTGCTGGAGGAACTGCCCAAACTGGTTGGAGCAATCCGCATTTGAATACAAAAATCATTAAAATTCAACGTGAAAACGTCTTAAGTTTCCTGCTGCTCGGACTGTGAGAAGAAACGGGCAAAAGTACGGTGGTGACCTCTGAACTCTGCCTATCCCGTTGCGAGTCGTCGTCCCGAAGGGGTAATGCCAAAATTACGTGCGTGACTGACCAATGCGCTGACCACTGTCCAGTTTGTAAGTCCTCGACCGCACGCACTCGCATCCTTTAAGGAAATCCCAACACAACCCAACCCCTTTTTCAAATCGCACCCGTTGTCCTTCAACCGTCTTGGATATCCCGTCTCGAAAGCTGTCTCCTTAATCATTAATAAAGTCTAATTTATGAAAATAATCTGTTTGCTCTGCGCAGTCTTCGGTCCAGAGGCCCAAGTCCAGGTGTAATCCGAATCCATTCTGGGCGCTCAGACAATCGGTTTTGCATGGCTATGGCGCAACTGACAAACACGAACAATGCGCCCATCAATCAACAGATTTTCGAGTTCAACAAGAGGTTTGCGTTTCAATCTTTTGGATAAGTAAATTCACAAATGTTTGCGTAATTAGCCTAATGGACAATTTGCGTAGCAGCGAAAGTTGAAATTTAGCTTTAGATTACCAAGCTTTCAGCTGTGAATACTGTTTGAAATGTGCCAAAAATAGTTTGATGAGCAACAATCTATTGACGGCTTTTGAATAAAAGGTTGGAAAATTAAATTGTTTAGTTATATATTCATTAATATTTTATCCATTTCATAGAAACATTTTCCGTTTGGTTCATTATCATCATCTAATTGATTTCATTCATTCACCTATACCTGCCACAGATCATTCCAATCCTTCGGCACGTGCAGTAACCCAGTGATGAGAGTGCAGAAGTCAAACCAAATAAAGGGCAGTCCTTAAACAGCATTCGACTGTCCCAGATCAAGATAGCCCTGCTTGCAGATATACAAATAAATAAATCACATCAGTGGTAAAGGGATCCTCGCCATAAAAAACAAGATCAACAAGATCAACCCTTCGACGCAAACATTTTGATCTTCGGCATTAAGAAGGAAAAGGGCAAACAAAGCATCCGAAAAAAGGATAAAAGGCGAACAAAGGCCAGTGGAAGCTGAGTGGCCTAATTTGTCGAGTTTCAGTTGCGAGTTGCGAGTTGCGAATGCCAAGCCCCGACACAAATGGGCCAAACACCCGACGAACCGCACTCACTAAATGGTCCACAAAGGAATTTCTGCGGAGGCTGCACGCGTAGGTTCCAAAGGTCGAATCCTGAATGCGGCAAGGGTTTCGTCCCGTTTCCTCATGATCGGCTTAAGTGGCGCATTGAAAGGATTACGGAGTTCGCGATCTCGGAATCTGTATCTGTATCGCCTGTTTGTTTTTCAGTAGCTTCTTTAGCCCTTTGTCGCAGAACCCTTGGCACTTGAATGTTCATTGAGTTTTACGCATCTGACGATTAGCATGGGCAATCCGCTTTTGGAGATGAGAGGATCTCCAGATCTGCAACAATTGTTTGGACCCATTGTGCTTTAACACTTTTATCCCGTGTGTGTGTGTGTGTGGGAAACCAGGGGTTGTTCGAGGGTGTTGTCAAGGTGGGCGTGTACTGACAAGTGACGACGATTTTCCCACATTAAGTGCGCTCAAAAAGCGGCTCAGCGGGATTCCCCTTTTTGCACTATCTGGAACTGTTTCAGAGGGCCATTGAAAAGGCGTTCAAGCGAGCAATTTCGCATGTTATTTTCGCTAAATTGCGCTAATCGCTTAAACTTTTCAGCGACCACTCGTCGAGGGTGGGGCAAATGGCCTTAAAACCGCATTGTTTACAGCCTAAGTCCCATTTAATATGTTGTCATGGCGAAAAAGGTTTATGGCGCCTTTGAATTAGGCCTTTATTCGACGAAGGCTTTGACACAAGTCACTGATGAGCTGGGAAACTTACCACTTAATTTTGATTCTTTTCATATTTCACCCACACCCCTAAGAAGCTCGTCAATGGCCACTTGAGGCTTTTTGTCGCATCCTTCTATTCAAATCCGGTCGAAATTACATATTCATGTGCGGAGAGGCTCTCTGAGATGGGTCTCAAGTGCTCGTTTCAATTATCCTTTCATGGCTTTCAGCGGGATATGTGAAAAGCTGACGACATCTATTCATACCCTGCTCGGATTTGGCCAGAATCTGTCCAATCAACAGCTTCCAGTGAAAATGCAGTCCCCAACTAAATCCTTTTAGACCGTTGACGCTGCACATTTGAGGCCCTAAACCCTTGAATTTAAGGCCTGACATGAATTGCGGAAGGAAGCAGTTAGGCAGCGGGAAATTCAATCGATTATGCGGACTTGGTCAGCGACACTTTGTGGTCAAACAAAGCCGGGTGCATAAAGTGACAAGAGTTATGGGCCAGAAAACCCGAAAAAGCAGGAAGAATAGAAGGGATTTCAATGAGAATAGGCAGCCGGCCAGTATCCTTTGAGTGACTCCCTCCGGATAAGATCTAAGAAATAGTCAAGCTGTGTGCGAGCGCCTCATTAAACGGTATTTTTGTGGCCATTCGTATCTCACAGTTGCATCTTGTTATCTTGTCAAGAGATTCCAGTGAGTGTGTGAGTGTGAGTGTGAGTGTGCGTGGGTAAACTCTCTGCTTGGCGACAATTTTGCGTCATTTGCGGTTGGCCAAGAGCGGAGGAGGGAGACCTGAACCCATCCATCCATCCAACCATCCAACCATATAAAAGAGCCAACAAAAGGCGCCTTTGTTTGGATCCTAAGCAGCGGCAGCATCAGCGGCAGCCGTCGTCGCTTGAAGTACTGTATCTCGAAGAACGTGTATCTGCGTCTTGGGCTGCAGCCTGCATGTGTCGCTGCTCCTGTGAGTGGGCACCCTAATGCGCTTCTAATGGCTGCGACAGACCGCATGAGTGTCCCTCCATTGTCCCTCGCCAAAGTGCCAATGGGCAGCCTTTGTCTTGCGAAGCGTGGGACACGAATGCGACTGACTAACCGCTTTGCCAGCAGCGTGAATTACGCAAATACACACTGGCGATTGCAAAACAATTGCATTATCAGAAACTCATGAAACTACTTGCAGTGCGTTAATCTCAATCGCGGTTCAACGTGAACCTAATTGAAATTGTTCACCCTAAAAATTGATGTCGCCAAAGATCAGGGAATGCGGCTGTTGTCGCAGGACAAAAGTTCAGTGGGCAGCTGAATTAATCGCAGAGCTCTCGCCTCTGTGGACACCACTTCGCATCCTCAGCGGACTGATAACAGCCTCGGAGACGTACTGTATCTGTGCTGGGTGTATATTTAGAGCCACTTATTTGTTGATTATAAGCGTGTGGAACTTTTTAATATTTTTCTATGCTCGGTTTGTTTACTTTTTCGGCTTGAAAATTGACAGCCTGCAACGGAACGAAAACAAAGACGGACACTCGACTGATAGATTAGCGAGGCTGCTTTTTGGGTTGGCGGAGGGTCGGGGCCGGGGGCTGGCAATCTCGAAAAGCGCTTTTTGATGAACAGACGTGCACAAGTCTCTGCTTAAAAGCAGGTCAATTGACCTCGCCTCAGTCGCTCTTTTAAATGGCGCTTATCAGGCACTCGTAGCATTAAAATGCTCCTTATCAACAACTGTCTGCAACGACACTGGGTCTCTGAGTGGAAACATCAAGAAGAAATCGGTTTGTAGAACGAAAAAGAAGCCGAAGATTCTTCCCCCAGATTCGTTGGAATTGATATTCCTTTGCTGAAAACATTTCTTTGTGCCAGCGAACGATCGTTTTGTACATATATGGGAAAAACATATTATTTCATGTTTTATTGTTTGGCTTTTATTAAAACAAAATAATTGATTTTTTTTATAACTATAGGAATCGTAAAAAAATAGAACAATTGTAAAATTCAAAAATGTAATGCCTTAAAAATATTCTAGATAAGTATATATTTAGTTCTTAGCAGGGACCGCAATCATGGCACCAGGTTACAACAAACAGATGCTTAATCTTGTTTTACAAATTTTCTTCCAATTTCCAGCTTGTTGCCAAAAAAGCACTTTAAAGAAATCTTTACACAGAAACCGAACAAAGAAGACAAATTAATCGGTGACACCTCATACACCGCTCATAGTCACAGAGGCTTCATAGTAGAGTTGACATATAATCATCCACAGGGATCTCATTCCATGTTTATAGATGGATGGACCTCAAAGTTAAAAAATTATGATTTTAATAATTTTTAAGCTTTAATGACAATGGAAGATTTAATGTTCTTAAAGTTCTTTAACAACACGTACAGTTGCCTTGCTATCAGATATTTTTTATAAACAATTTTCAGATTTTACTTACGGAGTTATTTTCCTCATTATCTTTAAAAGTTTAATTTGAAGAAATACAAATACATTAATAATAATTATTTGAACTCGTCTTTATGTACTTCTTTGCGAACTTCTTTTATTGGAAACCAAATTTTTTCTTGCAAAATGACTACTAATTAAAAGTTTCAGTGCAATGCATTGCTAAAGATCAGAACATAACACAATGTATTTCATCGCACTTTGTTTTGCGATGTCTATTTCATTAAATTGTATCACCTTAAATAGTTAATTTATGAATATAGAACAATTCAGCAATAAATAGGCCGTTTGTAATTGTCAACTGAACCAGTTCAGTTTGAATCAAAGGTCCTGTCCCCCTAAATGCCATCGATTAGTTGGTCAAAAACCAGAAACAGTTACCAGGCAAATACCGTTGAATCGGATACATCATTAATTATTTCCCTAATCCATCAGCATCCGTCAACAACTTGGGCCTCTCACCTCGCCCAGTCTCACCTTTGCCTCCAACTTTCTCACACTCGGCCGGAGCTCGATATTAATTAACCATGCCAAAATAGCGAAACTGACCATTAACACCGAAAAGGTTGAGAAGCCGGCCAACGGACTTGGAATGCCAGAAACTATTATCTCTCTAATGGGCGAAAACACACGCGCTGTGTCCTGTAAGGGGATACTTTCCCGGCTCGTCAGATTCCGGCACGGACATTTCATAACTTCCACTGACCGCTGTCCAGTTCGGGCAGGAGCAACCCCTTGGCCCAGCTTGAGACTTTGCAATCCTTTCTTCTCTTTGCTTAAGCCTTTGTTTTTCTCGGCATTGTCCTGGCACCGGGCACTTTGCATAATCAATAATCCTTGTCGCTGGCCCGCCATTGTCGCGCTGACCAACACGTCTGAAAAGATAAATTATGGTTTGTAGTCAAATTGAAGGCAAACAATCCCGGACAAAGACCAGACCGAGGGAATGCAATGGGTTGGAAGCGACCGGGATGGGGTGGTCATCCGATCGCCCTGAAGACAGCTGCCGTGTGCTGGAACCGGACAATGTCAGGCAAGTGAAGAGATTCCTGAACTGCAAAAGTTTGTTTTTAATATTTTGGGATTTATGATTTAATTAGATTACATTCTTAGAGATAGACTTTTTGGTACTCTTAAATGGTGATGAAATTAAAGATATCTAGATAAAGGCAAGCCATCAAACTCACTTAACATACTCAGAAAAAACAGAAAATGTATCAACTAATATACATTTTTATGGGGCGACAAAAAAAGTTATTTATATGTAAAACCAAGGAATAAACATGCTCAAAAGTACAACAAAAGTATTTAAAAAGTAGAAGTAAAACAAAAATTTTATTGAAGAAATTTACTTTTCAAAATTTGTTGAGTTAGTTTTGGTACATTTATTTTTTCTTTTTTTCTGTGCATAGTAAAAATAAAGAGTGCCACTTCCAAAGCTTATATTGATCAGATTTGTTGAAATTTTGGGATAAAGATCCAAGCATATTTAACTTGCTTAAACAAAAAAGAACTCAATTTCGCTAGACCCATGGAACCCTTTGGTCAGCTGTCGGAAATATATTAACATAACAATAATACCCATTTGCCATCAATAAAATCGTCGATAAGCACCCTCAATCACTGCGTAAAATCCTTTATAAATATTTGGTGTTATACCTATACTATCCTAAATATATACATTTTTAATCATACTCAATTCAATTCAAAGAGAGAGAATCAAAGATATCGCTCGGATGTGACCCAAACCCTAGCAAGGTAAACATAATTACACATTTATTTAAATTGCAAACAGCATTGGATGGACGAAAAGAAAGCGGATAGTTGACCTTTTCCACTCGCTGCAATGGCCAAAAGTCCTAAGACAAACGGCCAGCTGTGCAAATGTCAAGACGTAAGTGTCAAAATGCTCATTAATAACGTCATCCTTAACGGCCGCAGGACGATGGCTATGAGATCGGAAGCGCAGGGAAGTGAGGTCCTTCCTGGACAAACACACATAGACGGCTATGGCGAAAGATGGAATCGATGAGAATGCAAAAAAGCAAAGGAACGGCTGGCTAAGCCATCATCAAAGCGAATTCTGGACAATGGGCAAAGTTCGTCAAAGGATGTTTGCGCAAGTAAACATTGGAAACTATCGGGAAGGACAGGAAGAAGGATACGAGCTACGGTGTCTTTCTCCCGGGATGCGTGTCCCGAGTGTATGGCAGTGTTAAATTGAAAAATTATGATAAATAGCATAATGGGACGGGGGGAAGTTGCACAACAACAAGCAAACCCACATCCCACCGAGAGAACGTCTTCGTCCCGGTGTGAGTGATATGCAAAAGGATATTAATACCCGTGCAGGACGCGGAAGGGGTTGGGCCCAAGACGAGCGACCAGCCTTGAGTGAGTGTTGCTAAAGTGTGCACTGGCCTATAAAAGAAACCCATTCGCCACGGGATATCATTTACGATGCAGTGTCGTTTGACCGCCCAACGGGACTTTGGACCGCACCGCCCTAACCTCTCCCCCCTCCCCCTCCCCACAGGACAGCAGCTTCCGGGTCCTTTGTTTATCTACCCGGCAATAGTTCACATGAGCTTATCATCCGCAGCGCGAGTGTTTGCGAAAAGAGTTTGCCAATTCGCGGGGGGTGGATGAAGACGAAGACGAAGGGGTTAGCTCTGGTCGCTCTGTTGACAATTGTCGTAACTTTGGCTTTGGTCTGGTGGGATATTCTCGGCTTAGTCCTGTAATGCCCTTTGTCTTTATGGTCTGCCTTGGACGTTGACTGGTGATTACAGGACCGGGATTTGAACGGTTATCACAGGACACATTACTTTCGATATTTTACTAAAGAGGGGGAATCAATCCATATATATGTTTTTTTCTACGTATATGGTCTCTGGCTTGTAGCCACACTTTTGGCGCCACTCCTCCAGCTCCGTCTCGCGAATCACTCGTCTTGTGGTCACCGAATCGATGGTGCAGATGGTGTTCCCTTCCAGCTCCTCGCCCATTTGGTCCAGCTGGTCCAGCCGGTCATAGATGATTCCCAGCACCCCGTGGCGTCTTAGCTTGTTGCGAATCTCCAGGTCCGTGGTGGGACTTCCATACGCGAAGGCCTCCAGATTCATTTGATGCAGGAATGCCATAGTCGCGAACTTGTTCAGCAGCGAATTGGCGTGCAGGGTCAGTCCCAAAAACTCGAGGGAGTGACCCATCGCCACGGCGTTTTCCAGCACGCTTACTCTCTGGTCAGCGTACTGGACCTGGGAATTCGGATCCTCGAGGAGAAGAGTGACAGGATATAAGTTCTGCTTATACCGAACCATAACACAGATATCGGCATCAAAGCTGCAGAAGACAATGCGCCGCGTTCCGGCGTTCTTCAAGACAATCTCCAGAATTGTGTCCACATAGAAATTTCGGTCAAAGGTGGGCTTGAAGCTCCCGCTCTCCCAACGCCGCGAATTGGTCATCTGGGGCCACTTGATCTCGATGAGAAAGCCCATTCCAACGGGCAGAACATCCGGATCCATGAGGTCCAAGAGGAGAGGAAATGGACGCTGCTCCGCCTGCATTCGATCGCAGGACTTGTCGCAGCCCTTGCTGCCCGTGAATCGCAGGACCCTAACTTCCTTCAGCTGTTCGTAGGTGAATGCCTCCAGTGGAACGGCAATATGGTCCTTTCCCTTGCACCCTCCCATGGAAAGCAGCATCAGCTTGTTCAGTTTCTCGTAGGCGAATACCAGCAGGTCCTGGTTCTCCAGCAGATCCTCGTAACTGGGCATCCGTTGCAGCAGGAATCGCAGCACAAAGTCGTGGTACACCACCACCTGGGCATCCTGCGTGAGCTGGACATCCATCTCCACCATGTCCGCATTGGCCAGGGCGGCCTGCTTGAAGCCATACAAGGTGTTCTCCCTGACCAAATCGCAGCCTATCCGGTAGGTGTTTCCCGATCCCTTGTGCCCGATGCTCATGCACATGCGATTCTTGCGCCAGTAACGCTCGTAACTGCGACTCAAATCGCAGTGGACGTTCTCCAAGGGGCGAATGATGAGGTACTGCACGCACATCTCTATCAGTGGGCGGTGGGTGGAGGCGCAGGTGACCTTTACCCGGGCGAAGCCCTCGGTGCCCAGGAGCTGATTCGGCATCAGGAAGCCGTAGCCGTAGTGGTAGGGTGGTTCGTCGGCAGCCGCCTTGTGGGCGTAGGTGTACAGATCCAGGCGGTAGAGCGTCTCCGCCGGAAAGGCGATGGAACAGTGGAACAACTGCAAGTCCTCGGGTCCGCACCGCACTCCGAACTCCGACTGAAAGGCCAGCGACTTGGAGGCGCGCAGGTTAACCACCTCGACCAGGGCCAGTCGCAGATCAAGGGTTTCGTTTCGGCTTTGGCGTGCTTCAATGTAACGCGACAAGCGCGTGAGGGAGGATCCCACCTTGATGGGATGACTCGCCCCGGAGCAAGGATCTTCGGGGACCTCGTACATCGTCTGCACATGGACATACAGAAGCCGTTGCTTTTGCCGCTGCCACATAAAGGGAGCATTGAAGAGCTTCAGGTGCACAATGGTCTCCGTGGTGGCCCATCCACGGTCCACCTGGTTGTCCTCGTCGTCGTCGTGCGGCAGTCCAAAGGTGTCGCACCGCTTCAGCATGTTCTGGCAGGTGCGAATGACCCTGGGCTTGAGCTGCGACTCCCAGAAGCGGACATAAACTTCTTCCGCCTCGGGATCGTACACCACCACGCAGTAGCGGTAGTGGATGTCGATGTTGCGAGGTATATCTAGGGTCGCCTCGAACTGGTGGCACTTGCACACGCAGTCAGGGCACTCGTTCTTCTCCAGGATGTACACCTTCTTGGGATCACAGTTGCCCAGTGAGTCGCAGTTGCCACTTATGGCCACGTACTCGTTGGCGAGGAGAGAACGATGGAACTTCACGCAGAAGGGCCACTCGGTGGTGGGCACTGGTTGTGGAGTAGACGCCTCTTCCGCATCCTGACCCGACCCTGACCCTTCCTCGGGCTTGGGCTCACACTCCTCCCGCTCGTTGGCAAAAAACCAGCGATGCATGGTTAATGTCTTTATCAAATGCAAGGAGAATTTCGTAAGGTCGCTCCAACTAATAGTGTACAAAAATGCAATTTGGATGAAAATATTTCAGTTTTGTGTGTCTATGTGACAGATCTGCTTGATCATTGTGTATGTGAATTTACAAAAACGTAGATACAAAATAGGAACAATCTTAATTATTTAAAATATGTTGTTTATAAAAATAATTTAAGTAAGGAACTGAAATTATTATTTTGTTTTCTTTATATAAATATTAGATTTTCTATAGTGAAACCTCTAACTAAAGATTTGACTTTTTGAACTCCATTTCTCAATGTCTATTCCTACAGCCCAATTTAATCTAGAAATTCCCAGAGTATAGCGATCCCCACGTAAAAATTCCAAGTTGTGTCTGTTACATGACAAAACATATCATTAGCTAGCCACAAAAAACCAGGACTTCATTTGGGGAATTTTCGAAAACGTAATGAAACTTTCCCACCGAAGTCAACTAAGCATCCTGTCATATTTTCCGCAGGAAGTGATCTTTTGATCCGGAAACTATAAAATTGGTATACCAAGCCCGGAGAAATCTCTGTGTCGCGGAAAAGACACGCAAGCCCTCGCTCCCCCGAAAAACTGAAAACACTGAAACGAGCCACCTGCGACAGGATCGAGATCGAGGGAACAGAAACAAGGATCGAAGCAGGGACATGCCAGGAACTTGAACAGGGGGTTGTACTCTTGCACTCCTGCTCAAATAGGGAAATTAGGCATAGTTATAGTCAGGGGAAACAACATAATTAGTGTTGCCTTTAAAATTAAGTTTTAATTGTAGCCTCTCCAAAACTGCTGGTAAACTGTGGGAATTTTTCGGTTTCCGAACTGATTCCAAATATAGAAATGTCAGTCTGAATGTTTACGTTGGAGCGGTGACAGTTGTCAATGAAACCATTTCGGGCACTTCCCAATTTGAGTATCTCACCTTACCCCGAATCAGGGCAACACTTCGCTGGCTTCCAACTTGGGGCTTTCTCGAATTTCTCCTGTGCCTAATCCGCTTGTTTACTAAACAAATCAGCCGAAAAGGGGTGTCGAATACTTGGATGGAGGGTGAGTAAGAGGGGTCTCCAAGGATGGATCGAAATTTATGCCCGTCAACAGCGATTAAACAGCAAACGAGGCAATCAAGAAGATCCAGCCACATGCCAGAAGACTCAACCCCAACCGCAGATGCTGCAACTCGTTAACATTTTGTTTTCCTTATTCCTCTTCCCAACAAAGAAAACAAACACCCCTTGATATTTCATAATAAAAATGTATGAAGATAGTTCTGTTTACATATTTAATTGCAGAAAATTCTTTTCGTTCCTAAAAATTAAAAAACTAAGTTCATTTTTTAATTTGTCAACTCAAAATATGTTTGAATATGTTTGAATATAATTTAGTTTTTCATCGTTTTTAAAATACCTACATAAAAAACGTATTCCGTAATTTAACAAAAAATGTAATTTTAAAAAATGTAGAACAAATTCTCAAGGATTTTTTTGTTATCAATAATATTTTTGTATAATCATTATTTTAGCTCCATTAAAAACTTATTTAATTTAAAAGGACAAAATAACAGACATAAAAAGTATTCTCAAACGAACATGTAAGATTGAATCTAACTTGGATTTTCAACGTATTCTTTCTTGTTATTTGTTCATAATATTTTGAAAAAATCATGTATTTTACCTCAACAGTGATTAACTAATATTTGTTTTAACCTTCTGGAACCCCTTTAGTGGGCACAACGACCTCAAGTTGGTCGCAAGCGGGATCTCGTTCTGGTTTAATCACCCTGCGCTGACACTGCACAAAATGTAGACACATGTCCGCTAGACCGCAGAACGAGTGCCAAAAGTGCTGTCCACCGGCCAAGTCCGTTTTCCTCTCCATGTCCTTTTTCCTGACCTCTCGTCCTGTGTCCACATCCACACATTGGCAGCTGGAAGTGAAATCGAAACCGAAGCCGCCGCGCCTGCGCCTCGAAAAGCAGGTAGGTGTCCTTCGGATCTTTCCGTTTGCGGGTTTCTGCACTTGACTCTGTTTGTTTGGAACTCTGCGGTTGAGATTTTTATGGGTGTGGTGCAGTTGCAAGTGCAATTAAACAGCAAACAAAGCGAAACCGCAGCTTGTGCCCAGGTAGAGCAGAGATCAACTGTCAACTGGCTGCCGCAATTGCTTGGAGCACTTCCTGGAAACACAATACGAAATCCTAATTAAGCATAAAGAGACTAATTTCACCGCTGCCCCTGCGCACCATTGTGTGGGAAAATCTAATTGGAAATCTGTGAACTAAGTCGCCTTTCTCGCGGTCTTCAAATTACGTTCATTGCAGCGAGGCCTGTGCGCAGGCGCTCTGAAAACACGGGCATGGGGGATTACTGAGGAAAATTCGGATTTTCCGCTTTGTTTTCGTGTAGTTGAATATCCTTGGGAAACTCACCGATCGGGATTTCCTCAGTGTTTTCCCCTGGCAGTGTGTGAGCGGTAAGTAAATAATATTTTGTACACTATTTACGTGATTTTGGAGCAGTCCGATTTCCTGGTGGATGTCCTTAGGCAAATACGGATGCAGGATATGCTTACAGGTTGGGCAGGATATCCACAGGGCATTCACTAGATAAACAGGTGTACAGAGGTATTTTCCCAGGGAAAAACTGGGATCAATCCCAAAAGTAAGAGTGATTATTCCCCTTTTGGAACGGTAAACATGTCAATAAATCATCCCAGCACTTTTATGTCATCCATCCACTCAATGGAAATCAATAGCCGGAAAATAGTTTTCCAAGGCAAGCGTAAAACAAATCCAACACCGAAAACACCAGAAATCACAAATTAGCTACACGACAACAACAGTGTGAGAACAAACCCGACAGCCAGCGCATTTAAATACGGGAAAAAATTATTGACACATGGAGTCCTCGGTCTCCCCGTCGAAATCAACTGCAACCTTATAGCAACATCTGGACAAGTATTAAAAAAACAATAACAGACCCTTAAGTGACATCCACTGCGCCAGGATCTTCAACGGCAACTCGCCTGTGAAAGATTACAATTTATGGCTGAGGCTGATTCTACAAATATTTAACCAGAAGTTGGGGCACAACGTGCATTTCTGAAACCCATTGGAATTTGTTACACTGCCGAGGAGATGAAAAAAAAGAGCAGGAAAAAGTGGAGAAAGATTTCCGTGAGAAGCGATACAGGATGTGGGCTCATGTAAATGAGAGTGGGGCGAAGCTAGACTATTTTAATTGGACTGGGGGGAAATCTTAGCAGCAAGTTCGACCAACAAACTTAAAAATCCTTTTCTCATTCCTACTGCTGATTTATTTATGATTTTTACGAGCCGTGATCTGAAATCCGAAGCTGGACTATCTCCTCGGCCTGTTCCAGTTCTAATTCTCTCCCTGCGATAAGCCTTTATCGCCGAATAGAACAACATTGAAAATTGAGCAGTTCGAATGTTATTTATGAGCGCACTGGGGTCTAAGATAAGCCAGTGAGATTACACGGGATCACAAATGCCAGAACCAACTCAAATTTCACATCTAACGAAAGGGCCAAGGAGCCCATATTATGGCTCAATAATACTTTCAATATTTATATCAATTGTTATTAAATATTATTGGTCAGCAGAACAACCCTTAGCCTCAACCCTTTCGATCCCTCCTGGAAATTGGAAACCGCCAGGAGCAATCAAAGTCAGCGGCGAATGTGAGAATTATTGGGTTTCGCCAATTTAGTTTCAGGCAAAACGGGGGTGAATATACCCAAGTGTTGGGTGTCAGGGTTCCGGTGAAGTTGAGCTTCTGTTTCTGTCGCAGATCGGCCCAAGTGGTCAGTCGGTCCTTAAAGGTAATTAACCGGCTGAGCTGAAGGAAATCGTATATCACGGAACATAAGCGATCCCGGATGTGTCGAATGAAATTAGCATAGGGCGTGGAGGTGGGACATGCAAAGCGAAGCCACAGATGTTTCCACATCGGAACCACTCTTATCAGGCCCCAGACTTCCGCTCTGCCCACCTCCCAAGAACCCAGAGATCTGAACTAGTGCCAGGGTTTCTAGGTTCCCACACAGTCTGCTCACCTGCAGATCTGGGAGACAAACTATCTCGAGCACGACCCGACCCAGATGCAATGTATTCATCACTATTATCATGGCAAACATTTGCCCCCAGATAAACTGAGTTTGCATACGGTTCCGAGAGCCATTCTATTCATTAGTTTGAGTTTAGTTGCCTTGTTGACTTGTTACTGCATTACGCATACTCGCACTTCCTTCGGCCCTCGACTGAGTTGGTTCATTCATAAAATTAGACTCCGCCGGGCGTCTGCTGCAATCCGAATGGCATCCCACAGATCCGGCACTATCTCCGAGATATTCGGAATGCCAACAAATGTTGCCGCTAAGTGTAAATAAGTTTCGGGCAAATTCGTTTGTTTGCCCGCCGTTATCTGCGCCTTCTGATGATAAAAGTTTTCTGAAATGCGGTAAGCAGCTGGCTAAATTCGAGCACCTTTCCCACAGAGCGCATAAACATGTACACGAATTATTCTAGCATAGACTGGAAATATTGGCCCGTTCTGGATTTTCGGGCTAAGTTCAAAGGTCATGCTCAAAAAGTAAGTACAAAAAACCGAGCAGAAATTGGTAGTAAAACTCGTTTTTCCGTGTCCGAAATCGAGTTGGTTCCCGATTTATTTTTAAGCGCACCGAGCTGACCCATGAGAAGTTTTCGTCCATTTTGACCTTTGACACTGTCCGACCCGAAAGCACTCACCCCTAAGCAAATCCCGCCAAACGGGATAGTTTGAAACTAAACCGAACGAAAACTGCGAATGAAACTAGAGCCCTCAGGCAGTTCCGTTTCCATCATTTGATTATGAATTAAAGACACTATCGTCCGGATTCTGCGATCAGAGTTCAATTGCTCAATTAGCCGATCGAAACTCCTGTGCTGGAAGTTGTGAATGGATGGGATCGCTCATAATTTGCCCACTGAATGAGTTTTCCACGCCATTACAATGTGGAGACATCATGCGGAGTGGCCCACACAAAACAAAGTGGGACTGG